CATGGTGCAGGGCGGCGGAGAGAGCTAGTATAGCAAAGGTGAGTTGGAGGGTCAAGAGCGTTGACATGCTCGGTCTCCTGTCGCCCAACTTTCAGTTTCTTTCCTCTTCCTGTCTCCCTCTCCTCCTCTCCTCCTCTCCTCCTCTCCTCCTCTCTCCCTCTCTCCCTCTCTCCCTCTCTCCCTCTCTCCCTCTCTCCCTCTCTACCCCTCTTCCTCTCTTCCTGTCCTTCATCCTCAGTTTCGTTTGAAGTCCTTCCCTTCCCTGTCCTTGCCCTGGGGACAGCTTGTTCTCCTTCTCTGTCCTTGTCTTCTTGTAGTTTGACTCTGAAACAGCCTGCTGTCATCAACGACGAGGAGAGTGGTAAGATGCCTAGACAGGTGTAACATCTTTACTCTCCCTCCCCCGGTCCTCCTCTCGCTTCCTCCTTCTTCCTCCGTCTGCCTCCTGCCTGCTCCCTCCTGCTCTTTCCTCTTCCTCTCTCTTCCTCCTTCTTTGTCCTTCTTCCTTCTGCTCCCTCCTGCCTCCCCTTTTTCCCTCCTGCTCCCTTCTGCTCCCTCCTCGCACCCTTTCCATCTTGCTCCTCCTGTCCTCCTATTCCTTTTCCCTTCCCTCTCTTCTCTTCCTTGTTATTGCTGACCTGCCTGGCTAGACCCGCGCCATCACTGTCCCTCCCTATCGCTTCCCCCTGCTGAAACGCATGTGGTATGAATCTCAAAGCTTCATCCCCGTGTTGCGACCAGCTGATGTTGTATCGTCGCAGGGAAGACTACGCTCGCCCCATCGTACAGGTTTTCTTCCTGTTGTTCCTCCCCCGCTGTTCTTTTCTGAATCTCTCCTTCTTCCTGTGTTGATTCCTTTCAGCATCTGAAGCTCCAGATTCGTCTGAACCTCAAGCGTCGAGTGGTGGTGAGAGGGGAAGGAGGATGAGAAGAGCAAGGGTTATGGGAAGACTCGTGCAAACAAGGAGTGAAGGAGGGGAAAACGATAGGTGGAGAGGAGGGTGAAATGATGAGAAGGAGGAAGCAGGAGAACAGCAGAGCAGATTGACAGAAGGAGGGGACGGCGAAGAGGATAAAAACGAGGAAGAGGAGGGCTTTCTTTCTTTCTTGACCTACGGTGTCCAGGAGATCCGCACGTGCGACTTCACAACAGACGCCAGCGCTCTCACGCGAGCTGCCGAGTACACACAGGTGAACTTGACTATCTCCTGATGGGACGAGGCAAGGTGCTGATGCCTCGGGACAGGCCTTCATGACAGGTTTCTCACTGCAAGACGCCACAGCCATGTTGAGGTGCGGAAGCAAGCTGTTTGTCTTGTCTTAGAGTGTTCTGTGGGAATATCTCCCCTGAACCCTCGCCAGGCTGGATGGCCTCTACATGGAATCGTTCGAGATCACTGATATCAAGAGGCTCAAGGTAAAATCCGTCCATCCTCACTATCACCTTGCTATCCTTTCTTGTACCCCCGATCCTTCATTCCTCCCTTGCTCAACTTTCATGGTCTTTCCTTTACCCGTCCTCATCTACTTTCCTTCCTCCACCTCCATCGTTCCCCCCCCCTCCACTTTCATCTCCTTGCATACTCCTCCTCTCTTCTCCGTGCTATACCCTCCTCATCCGCTCTTGCCAGGGTGACCACCTCTCTCGCGCCATCGGGAGGATCGCCGGAACAGGAGGAAAGACGAAAGAACTCATTGAGAAGGTCCCTCCCTCCCTCCTTCCCCTCCTCCCTCAGTCTCATCCCTGCTCACAGTCAACTCGCACTCGAGTGGTTGTAGCGGACAAGAAAGTGCACGTGATGGGTCAGTCGCAGTGCTGGTGGGACATCATGGCCTGATGATCAGCTGCAGGATCCGTAGACAGCATCCAGCATGCCAAGAATGTAATATCGGACCTTGTACTGGGGCGGTTGATGTTCCAATTACTTGGAGGGTCTAATGTAACACAAGAATGATACAGGCCAACTGCTAGGGCGAACAAGAAGCTGAGTGCCATCGCGACAAGATACAAACGAGAGTTATAGGAGAGGCGCGATGATAAGAAACTTTGTATAGAGAATCCTTCAAGCCACCTTCAATTCCAGAGGGGAATAAATCTGAACAAGCGCAGTCAGTACCTTCAGAAGCACACAACACGACGGGAGCTCGACCTGCTTTGCGGCGTTAACAACTTTGGGGATGGGGTTGTGTTTTTGCAAGTGGGTCTCAAACTAGGAAACAACAGTCACACTCACGCTCTTCAAGAAAGACAAGTTACCGTCCGAAAGAATTGTTCATGGAACTGTGTAGACTGCTTTGCAGCCAATTTCATCTGAGGCAGACCACCGATGTAAACAAACTCTGCGTCAGAAGCAAGTTTTACCTTGAACTCATTCGACTCAGCATGTTTCTTGAGCTCCCCTGCTCCACACTCAGTATCCACAAAGGTCACATGGACGATCGACAACCGGTAGCTATGTCCACCACCATCCTCGCAAGCGTGTTCTGAATGAAGAAAGGAACCTGTTTCAAGGCGAAATGATAGTCAGCTGGAACGATCCAACCGACTCTGCCTGCAATACAAGGAAAGCACCTTATCGCTCAGCTCAGACCCGAACTGGAATCGAACAGAAGTTTGGCCTTTTGCGGTACTGTTCGAGGTATCAGGAAACAATCGACCTGCAAACATTCCAAGACCTGTGGATGGTGTAAACACCAGAGATTGTTCTCATCATTGCCTCTGAGGTGCCATGCGCCGCCCTCACATTGCGGAATGTAACCTGAAGCAATCATGCATCAAAGCACTTTCATGTCTATCTCCCAGCTTCACCTGCGCTTTCTGTCCGGGATGGAGGCTCTTGCCTGCAGGCATCGTCCATGCGAGATCGAATCTGAACTTCAAGCCCATGGCACCAGCAGAGTATCGAAGAACCTGGAGCGGGGTCATCAGAATGGGAAGAAACAGAGAGAGAGGAAGGGAGAGAGAAAGAAATAGAGAGCATTCACCTTCTTATTCTGCGAGGCCTTCAATACTTGGATAGACTTAATTCCATTCCCAGCCCAATCGCCATAGTTTGCCACATCACAGGTCAGAGCAAGTACCTTTGACATCAGTGTCAGATAGCGCATAGGCCACTTCAGCAGGAGAACAACCTCCCATGCGTCAGCATCGATGTTGACTGTGCGATCTGCTCGGATTCGCCGTGGCTCCTTCTTCTGCCTGGGAGACTTGCACTGCTGGCATGCCATATCAGCCTCGTTGGTCTCTCGGTTGGCAACGGGATATTGAGATCCTGGCATGTGAGATATTACAAGGAGATCAAAACTTGTTGATAGCAGAACTGTTCTTACCCAAAGGGGCAAGAAATGCCGAGAGGACGGGCAACAGCTTTCTTCTCCCAGACTTCCAAACATTCTCAACAAAGCAGGTGTGGAAGGACGGAAGGTTGTTGGCACTTTTCGGACATGAGCAAGAATTGTGTGTGCATTTTTCCGCTTTCGATGTGCAAACTCGTTTCTTGCAGTATGAATCGCCACCTTGCCGCAAAAAATGAGTACACCTTATGACAGTTTCCCTTTGTACCTGTTTCCGTGTGAGTTCTGTGTTGCGCCAGGTTGTGAGAGGAGGCCTGTTACCAACCATCAATGAAAGCATCACAATTTGAGGTTGGGCTTCTTACTTGACCAGAGAGTCCAATCAACAAGACGAGCACAAGAAGAATGGGGCTGATTGTTCTTGTGACAACCCTGCCCCTTGCACGCTTAATGATCCCATCCCGGTAACCAGTGAGAAGTTTGGTAGAATGGCGATGAAGAGCAAAGTCAAGACTGTCTGAAGCTGCCGGGCGATTGGAGGGACGGTTGGACTCGTTTGAGTCTTCTTGGACGGCGGACGCGTCCCGATGCCGCATCCTTCGGGCTGGTGATCAACGCCCGAAGCTAGCAAGAGGAACAAGTCAAACAATGCAAGAGAAATCCAGGAGTGGAGCATGATAGAGGACAAAAGTAACACTGGGTGGCTCTGTGGGAAAACTTGTTGTGAAAGTAACAGGTAAGGCTGGGTGGCTCTGTGGGAAAACTTGTTGTGAAAGTAAGCCTCGTAAGGAATGTCAGGTCCTACGAGAGTTCAATCATAGGTGGCAACACCGTGCATCTGCCTGAGAACAACTCTTCTATCATGACATCATGCAAACAATCTTGATCACTCAATCTCTAACACCAGGAGGAAGTATTGGAGTCCAACAGCAGCGAGCAAGGCAAGGATTCGGCGTATGGGGATGAATGGCCCAGTGAGGAGCAGAGGCATGCAGTGGATTCACAGGGAAGAAGAGGCAACAGGGAGGCGGTGGGAGCACGTTTGGTAACGTGCGTGAAATAGAAGATATGGAGAATGAAGCTGAAGATGCTACAACTGACAACGATGACTGCGATGGATGACTGGGATGACTCTGAACGATGACATCGGCTGGAGTGGAGGTGCAAATGGCCGGGTAGCGCAGCTGAGAGTTGTGAAAGAGCGGGACCAGGCGTATCAGCAGGAGGAGGAGGAGGTGCAGAAGGAGCAGGCAGGAAGGAGAATCGGGAAGAGGAGGCGGGGAGAAGGTAGCTGAAGCAACTCCGGAGCTGCTGCATATTGGAGAGACAGTTTGCTGATGCGGTAGAGAGGGGTAATTTCAGCTGTAGGGGGTGGGGCAAGGGTACCTTGTGTGAATAAGTGGGGTAGTCACACGAATAGGGTACATTACACCGGTGCTTTATCCTATATGATCCTGGGAAATGTTGGGGTAACGATGATTACACACAGAGATTGGACCACGGGTGATGCAAATCCACCCCTTTGAAATGGCCGCTACCGGTGGTATTGAAGGCTGCATCCACCGCCCTCCAGAGGGTGGGTGAAGTCTTAAAACTTATTATAAGTAGTGCTACCATGACTGTCATGAAAAGTATTTTAGAGTGACCCCATGAGCTCTCAGTACCCTATCTATACAAGAGGAAAGGGTGGGTCATTTTTAGGAATTCTCGTATAATGTTTTGTAGTCAGTGAACATACAAGTCTTGCCCCCAAGGACCCCCCACCCTCCATGTTGATGCATCCCCTCACCCCCACCTAGGGACTTTTGATTGTGAACTGTGGTGTTTGTGTCTAGGGATGAACCTACACAGTTTACCAATAACACATATAATTGAAAAGGCCATAGATACTACCCTCTGGCTAGGACACAACCTTTAATCCACCCACATCACATCCAAAATGGTTATTCACACCCCACCCGAGCAAACCACCATACCCCTATTTCCCTCCAAAAGGTTCAAAGTCTCAAATGTATTTTAAATTTCCAAATTGCCCCGAAATATTCAATATTCATGGAAATGTTGATGATTTGACCGAAATTGCTGGTAAAGTTTCGTAATAAAATTCAAATATAAAACTCTAAAACTCAAAACGACGGCAGAAATATCCTACCCACCAAATATCAATCATTAGGACCGGTAGTATCGTAACCCCCAATCACCCCTGTCAACAGAAAATCCTCCCACGCGTTTTTGGGCAATGAAAGCCCTATGGGCGGGGTCGTAGCGTGGTCTGTACTTCTGCTACCTGTGTAGGACTCAGATACGGGGCCGAAGAGGACTGTAGTAAAGGAAGGAGGGGCCTCAAGGGATAACAGAGAATCACACGACGAATCTATGTTTTTTCAGATCAACGGAGGGTTTTAAATTGTTATATGATATCTTTAAATTCTTTCTTGGATAGAAAGATCCGATTATGAGTCTTTCTGTATCTGATAGTTCAACCAGAGATCGAAAAAGGATCGTTTCGCTTTAGCAAGTGGCAGTTGGTTCTGCCAACATCACTGGCTCCGCGTCGGAGACTGAGATTCGAGCCCGCCCCGTGACCAGCTACTCCATCACGGGGCCGGCCGATACCCGGGGGACACTTGAGTGACTCACTGAGTGAAACAGAAGGTTATGAGTCCTCCTTTAGTTTGACAAGGGCTTCATGTTGAAAAGTTCAAGCGTACTTCCAAAAGTACAGCATTCCCACTACTGAAAAGTTCGTTGCCTCTCGAAAGTTCATGTGACCTCGGATAATCATGGTGTCTCTTGGGTTTAGGGAGATGCAGCAGAGCGAAGGGCCTGAGCGCTGCATCTTCATCCTCCTCTACGTGTCCTCCGCTCCTCCTTCATGTCCATCTCTATCAACCCTCCCTGTCTTGCCCGATCATCCTGCATGCATGCATCCAAGATCGTACACTCCTGTCCTTTCCTATCGTCAATCGTCCTTTCCTCTGCTCAATTCTCCTCTCTCCCTCTTTGATTTTGTAGCAGCCTACGATGTGCTCTCTATCAACTGCAGTGCTCCTTATTCCTCTCGTCTCTGTGACATGCGTTCTTCGCAGGAAGGAAGTTATCCAGGAGGTTTATAATTCTTGATATGCTGCCGAGACGATCGATCGCTAGAAACACTTTCTGTACATAACAGTCCATTGCCATGAAAGCTTTCCTCTTTCTTATATTCTTTGTGCTGCAAGTCGCTGGAATGAACTCAGAATTTGATCCTTCACAGCTGAAGATTCAGAGTTATGGCGACAGGAGCATCTCACTTGGATGGTGTCAACGTGGCAATCTTTCTCTCATTGCAATGTTTCGTTTGTACAATATCAGTGATGGAAACACATCAGTCTTTGCGAGCTTCAATGCATCCAGCAAGAATGTAAATGTCAAGCACGACTGCGCTGGAGAGTTGTCGTGTAATTGTTCAACCATTGACCTGATGGTTGACAACTTGATCTTAGGGGAGTTCTATAACCTTGCTTTATCTGTCTTTGTACATATTTCTTCTAGGGACATGTTGCAAGAATCAAACATGTCCAATCCTGTCTACACGCGCATCCTCGATCCTCCTTCAATACCTCTCAACATCTCGATAACGCCGTGCGATGGAAAAATTGTCGTCGTATGGGACAATCCTGCTTCTTGTGGACTGGGTAATCTTTCGGACGTGCCTTGTCTTGAACTCTTGGCAGGTTTCAGAATCAAAATCACAACAAACATTTCATCCTTGGGGACTTCGTGCAACTCAGAATCGAGCACTGATTGTACTTCTCTGACCATCTCACCCAATGTCACGTCTGTCGTGTTTCCCATCATCAACACTGGAGCATCTTTTGTCTTATTCCTGCAAGCATTCAATGCAAATCTTGACGGAGTAGCTGCAAGGTTGTTTCCTATCAGCTTCAGGCCGAGCGTTCCAACAAATACACACGTGGACTTGATTGATCATGTTATCTTGGAATACTCGTGGCAACCAGTCAAACGACCATTCTTGGGACCAAGTTTGACATCAGCTGATTTCTTTCGCGTACAGTGGACAACCAACATTGATGATTTCGCCAACCCCTATGGACCAGACAGGCTACAATGTTTCTCCACATTGAACCTTCCATTGCCGCAGAGCTGCCGGTCTTGTAACATTGTCAGGTGTGATGCGGGGCAAGTCTGCATGCGGGCCAAGGCAAGAAAGACCGACAACTCGACTGTGATCGTGATGGGCTGCGCCAACGCGTCTCATGCTCCTCATTCTGAGCTCGATTGCTTTGACATGGTTGTCACGGAATACTCGCCGTGCTCGTCGTCGTTGTGCAATGACCCAGTGGCTGTGAGCAACGAGTCTGATGTGTGCAATGTGAGGGGAGGTGAGAGGTACTGCGATACCTCGGCCACGGTCTGGAGCTCTAGAACGTTTCTAGAAGACATGTCAAACCTGTCGACAACCCTCCAGGTCAGGGACGTGCCTGCAGACGTCAGCTCCATCACGTTCGGAAGAACTTCGAGCTTCACAGGCACAGTAGACTGCCCGTTGATAGAGAACGTGGAGTACTTCTTTCGCGTCGCGGCGTGTTGGAACAGAATGGGCTGTAGCGACTTCAGTTCGGTCTCGTCCGCAGTGGCTGGTCGGGTGCAGATGCAGGCGATGGTGTCGCTGGAGAGGACGAGGGTAGGAGAGCAGGGGAGGATGAATGTGAGCTTTTCCATGGTGAAGGAGACTGCTGCTCCTGTCACGCTGGAAATCTTCCTTCCTCCATCCTTCGGTTTCATCAGCGAAGAGGAAGGCTCCTTGTGCATCTGCATCTCAGGCAACACATCTTCCTCCTCCTACACTGATCCGTCGACTGTAGACTTTGCTGCCTGTACCAAGTGCAACCTGGCCTCGACCATGACAGAGTTGTCAGGGTTCTGCGATCGCAGGAACTGCTCCTTCTGTGAGTCTCCCTCCAGCAAAGTCTCTATCACCTTCGGTCAGGACGGCATGACTTTCAAGCAAGGAACTATCTTCAAGCTCACGACAGGCCTAGTCTGGAATCCTCCGTTCTCCGAGAGCTTCGAAGGTCTTCGACTGAGCACACTCGATCGAGAGCATCAGCTTGTTGACATCCGAACTTCCTTCCCTCCCTTGACCATCGCCCCCGGCTTGTTGAGCGTTGCAGCTTCTTCTTCAGAGACAAGGGCTGGGCTCCTGACAAATATTTCCTTCTCTCTCCTGTCACTAGCACAAAACTGGTTGCCGGACAATTCCGTCATCCACTTTGATTTCCCTGTTGAGTTGGACGTCAGCGCGTCCCAGATCTTGTCTGCGACTCATCATGTGGAAATTCTTTCTCTCTCCCTCTCTCGAATTTCTGTCTCTGTTGTTGACGCCACTTGCCTTTATCCAATTGACATCGTGTTCCTCTACATTCGCAACGGCTACTTTCCTGCCACTATGGACGATTTTCGCGTGCAAACTGTCAACGGCGGCGCTACAAACATGTCTGTTGTGGACGAGAACCGCAATGTTACAAGTTTCACCATCACAACAGGAACTGTCAACATTGAGTTGGAGCAAGTGCCGATGAGGTTTGCCGGATACAGTGATCTCAACTTTAACTACAACATGAGCTCATCTCTGCAATCTTGCTTGATCTCGTCGCTGCACATTCGGTTCCCTCCAGGGGCAAGCTTGCAGGATTCGAACATCTCTGTGCTCAACGGTAATCTGTCGGGGCTGAGCTGCAACTGCAGCTTTCATGTTGAGAGTGCAAACAATGTCGACGAGTTTGTGTTTGTGTATGACGGTGAGGAATCACAGTCTGCATCTGCCGCAGACAACATTTTTCATTTGAGGTTTGTGAATGTGCGCAATCCACTCTATGTTCCTGCAGGAAGGTACAACTTTTCCGTCTGGACTATGTGCAACGATGTGGATGTGAACGCGACTGATATAGAGATAGCTCTCCTGCCTTCAGTTGTGAAGGATCCAGTGGTTGTCTTGAGCTCTGACGTCAGCGGATCGAGGTCGAACATGACCTTGTCGTTGAAGACAAGCAACCCTCTCCCTGGATTGATGACTCTTAGTATCTCCTCCTCGCAGGAGTCCTTGTTCTGTCGAGGTTCCCTGGATGCTTGCTCCCCTTACATGACTACCATCAAGGCTCTTTGGCAGACTTCAGGTGGTAGTATCCAAGTATCGAAGGCTATCAATGGAACCACTCAAACCATACACAACCTCTCAAGTTTTACTGTCCTGATGGACCTTGAAGGCGAGATAATACCAGCCGGAGCGAGCATAGAGCTAGTTGTTGACATGTACAACCCATACTGGGAGCAAGATGTGCTCATGTATCTTCTCATCGCGGATGAGTTTGGAGTGGTCGTCGAGCAAACTGACGATCGTCTGCGGTTTCATACACGAGCTGCAGAGCTCCTCTCGGTCTCCTCCGTCATCAGAAATGCAGGCGTGCAAGATGCTCTGTTCTTTGGAGCTGAAGATAAGTTGGGGATCTCTCGGGAAATGTTCATAATAGAGTTGCATGTCGACTCGGTGAACGCATTCACTGGTTGCTTCTACATGCTGATTGATCTGGAGTATTGTGTTGACATCAGTGTTGAGAGTGTTCTGAGCAGCAACGTCAAACTCTTGGATGGGAGGTTTGCCAACGGGACTCTCAATATGTCTTTCGGAGACCAGTGCCCATCATCATCATCATCATCGTCATCATCATCATCATCATCATCGAATATGGGAGGCCAGCATACATTGAACATCACTGCCCTCGTGAATTTCTCAGTATCAACCGGCTCCGCGTTCGGGTACGACAGGAAACAAACTTACAGGATTTACCATGTCAGCCCTCAGGGGGACCAGCATCTCTTCGCCTACTCCTCTACCTCGGTGAAAGACTTCGTCCTCCCTCTCTCCTCCCCCCAGATCTCCTACATCGCCAACGCTACCATGACAACTTCAGCTCTCCGAACCGGCGATCCTACGAATCTCACGGTTACCTTGCACTTTGACGACGCTCTCCTCCCTCCTCTCTTCAGCCTTGCACTGGACCTTCCCGGTTTCCGCCCTCTCAGTCCGGAGGCAGTCAGACTGAAGCTACTGGACCCCAAGACTGGAACTTTCAGCGACCTGAACGTCACTGTCTTCCACTCTTACTTGCTGTTGACTAACTTGTCAAGAGCCTCGCTAACAACTGTCCGACCTCCCCCTCTTTGCGACATCTCCAACGTCGTTTCTTACAATCACAACTTTGGAACATGCAGCAGGATACCTGCAGTCAAGGACTTGCAGGCAATGACGCTGACTGTGAGCGGAGTGAACAGCCCGCAGTTCTCAACGTCCTTCGATGCTATCGTGCTCTTGTTGAGCGATGATGGAGACAACCAGGTCATAGTCGACCAGTCATTGCACCGCCTTGACGTCTTGCCAAACTCTCTTCTCGATGTGCAACTTGTCTTCGATTCCGACATGGCGGGAGAGACGGGGCATTTGCACTTGGCTGTGAAGACCAACAACTTTCTCCGGGCTGGCTCCCTGCTCTCTGTCGAGCACGTGCAAGGGTTTTCCTCTGCTTGCCAAGTGCAGATGTCGAACAAGACATCGATGTTGACCAGCGCCTGTAGCTTCCCTTACATCAACTTCTCAGCGTCCTACGACGCAGAGTCTATCGCAGGAGGAACTGCTCTCAACTTTGACATTATCAGTGTTCGCAACCTGTTGTTTTCCGGACACTTTAAGTTCACGATCCGAACTTACTTCCTCTACGAACAACAACCGATCATCGTTGACGCGAGCGATGTAATGGTGGCTATCAGAGCCAATCATCTTTTAAATGCGTCAATTCATTCGTACTTGACAAGATCAGGGGAGCCTGGGAACATTGAGATTGTGTTTCGACCGTCTAACGAGGTTCCCTACAATGGAGTCATCCAGTTTGATTTCATGGAGGGATTTCTTATTCAGCAACCTTCGACTTTTTTCTCCGCCTCCTCCCCTTCCTCCCCTTCCTCCTTGCCATCCTGGTCATACTGTAGTATGATCGGCATCGTCAACTTGACCGCAGAGGTTACGGTGGAAGGAAACCAAGTCTTCTTCACAGTCAAGGACAGTGTTCCCCTCCCTGCCTTGCAAGAAGCAAAGTTTCCAGTCTCGTCAGTCAGCTCTCAGCCGTACATCGGAGACATGAACTGGGTTTACATCCAAACCAAGACGCCGAGTGGACATGTCATCGACTTCGGAGTCGCTTCCCTGACTGTTGACAGCCTACTTCCTGGGACCTTGTCCATGGCCGCGGTCCTTCCCCTGGATGCAGAAGCTGGTTCACTGACTGCCGTCGCGGTGTCCATACAAGTTCAGAATGAAGTCCCTGAGGGAGGATACATCATAATGGGTTTCCCACTCAACGTCTCGCTCCACGGTCCAGCTCTGTACGGGCACTACGAAGGGATCGACGGAGCTCTAGAGCTCCAGAGAGCCGATGGAGAATGTACCGTAGGATGTTCACTCAAGGTCAAAGTGGTTGGGTCCAACATCCCTCGGGGCCGGCGAGTTTCCTTCATCATCAACAGCATGCGCAATATGCCCTACACGGGAGTGACGGACCCCTACATCTTGCAGACGACAACAGCAGATGGGGTTGTCATCGATGAAGGGTCGGCTGCTGGGACCTCTGTCGAGCCCTCCCGTCTTGGGTTCGTTGCTGTGACATGTCAAGAGCCGTGCGTGATCGAAACGGAAGTCACCTTGACTGTCTCGTTCGCCATCTCCAACCCTCTTGTCCGTGGGTCGATCGTGGAGGTTGTCTTGCCAGCTGACATGCCACTTGCTGCGACATGCGTCACTCAGGCGTGTGGGAGTGTGACAGTGCTAGGAGACGGACTGAGCATGGTGAGTTTTTCTCTGCAGAGAAACGCACTTGTCATCCTCAACGATCGAGACTTGCAGGCTCAGGAGCAGGTTGAGCTCAGTCTTGTTGGCCTCAGAGCTCCGAGAACAGAAGGGATGACTGGGGTGTTTGAGATCAGAACAAAGTTGGGAGATTCTACTGTTGACGAGGACAGAGGCATTCAGGGAGTTTATGTGGGCAGCAGGAATATGTTTGTGGATGTATCAAGTGATGACAACGTTGCTGGGCGAGCGACTAGTTACATGTTGTACCTTCAATTCATGTCCAGCCTCCCTACCAATTCAACCACGATAGAGATTATCTTGCCAGATGGCTTCCAGACAAGCTCAGAATCTACAATCACTATCATTTCCGATTTCCAAGGAATTTTCAACTCTACCATCCAGGGCCAGGTTGTAACGCTTTCGTTTCCTGTCGTTGACATGGGATACATCACGTTTTCAGCTATCTCCTTGTCTCTCTCTGAGTGCAGGAATCCTACCATGTCTGGTACTTACGAGATCAACGTTGTAGCCAAGGTGGATGATGTCTCAACGGGAAGGTTATACACGTCGGACAAAGGATCAGCATCGTTGCAAATATTCCCAGAGGGCATACAAGATGTCAAGTTCCTCCCTGACATGATGGGGATCGGATACGAGGGGACCATGACAGTGCAGATGACTACTTTACTTCCCCTTCCAAACAACTTCACCGCCCAGATAGTTTTTCCATCCTTCTTTGGCACGAGCCAGATCACGTCGATCAGGCTTGCAAGGTCTGCCGACTTTGACCTTGATGAAGCGAGATACTGGCCGGAGGAGAAGGTGTGTTTCTCAACAGACGGCAACGTGGTCAGCATCCAAGTCGAGCTGGAACAGCCTGTAGACGCCAACATCTTGCTGTCATTCACCATCTTCACCATCGAGCTCTCTGGATATGCTGGAGCTTCCGATTTCTTCCATCTTACCATAGCGAGCGGAACGCTCCTCTACATGGAGCAGGTCGTGCCTTACACCGTCCAAGTCCCCAACAAGTTTGCCGACCCTTCAGTTTCCTTCTCCTCACCGTCAGCAGGAAGCACAACTGACCTTGTCTTGAGCTTCTCCTTCAACTCCCGCATCACTCCGATCTTCTTCCTAGCCATCTACCTTCCTGAAGGTTTCTCAGCAACTCCCACCGCCTCTTGCTCCTGCTCTACTCCTAGCTGCTCTCTTGACAACTCATACACGGCCCAACCCTCGCAGAACGGATTCAGCGGCCTCGTTCTTAGGATATTCCTGCAAGACCTTCACAGCGGCCTAGAGGAGCTAACTATGACCTGTGCTGGCGTGCAAACGAGGCCCTGGAGCGGTCCAGCTCCTATTTACCTGATGTCGTACGACTCGTCCGGCAACCTTCTGCAGAGGGAAGAGCTGGTCTCAGAACTGACAAGCAACACTCTTAGCAACTTCTCCCTGGAGCTGTCATCAGGCATCATGGGCACTCGTTCAGACATCGCGATGGCCATGGCAGCGGCCAACTCGCTCCCGGACGGAGGGCTCCTGGAAGTGCAGCTCCCCTCGTGCCTCTACTTCAGTGACAGCTCGGAGTTCGTCGTGATGGTAGGGGAAGAAGCAGTCACTACCAACGTGTCAACATACACGAGCAGCTACAATGATGTCTCCAGCGACCACTACACCTCCTTCTTTGAAGTGAGCAGACTGGAGCGAGGCTGGCAGGTAGCAGTGAAGGTTGCAAACGTCACTCATTGCAGAACAGCGGGGAGGTACTTTGGTATCGTCAGGACTAGGCTGACTCTGCGAGCCGATGGTATCCCTTGCTCGCTTGCCGAGTGTCCAATCGTGGATGAGTTTGCCTTCGATTTCACCCTCCTTCCGCTGGAGAGTCACAGCGACACCCTGCTCCCTGTCGAGGCAGTTGCCGGAGAATGGAGAGAAATGGTATTCGAAATCAAACTTTTCAGCAACTTGACTGCTGTCTCATTCTTTACCGTTACTTTCCCCGGGGAGTACGACGTCTCCAAAGTTTCTATCACCAGTGGATTCCAAGAGATTCAAGCGGGAGGCCTTAGCGAGGTGGTCAGAAACCAATCTACCATCACCATCCCTTTCAAACATGCTTCCGCTCAACCCTCTGACATGTCTGCTACGTTTCACATCACCATCGTCAACGTCCGGATGCCACAACAGGCGGTCTCTCCTCTACCTGCCGTCTCCTCATCAGACCTCACGGGCGGCCCTTGCAAACACTCCAACGGCTTCGTCGTCAGAGTGTACTCACTACACCTCGGAGAAGTCTTGCTTAACGAAGTGCTCTGCTACAGCCCCATACAAATCTTCTCAGCTTCTCTGAGTTCCATCGGAACCATTTCCACAGGCTCCTCAAGAAGCTCCCTCCCGAAAGGCCCTGGAAGCCTCCTCCTCCTCCCGCTCACGGTCACCTCCGGGTCTTTGACTTCGTTTTCCTTCTCCTTCTTCGTCGCCAATCGGATCCCGGAGTCAGGAGCCCTGATCATCGCCCTCCCTCAAGGATTCCACGACGAAGGTTCCTGCTCCTGCTCCTCCAACGTCAACACCGTCTCTTCCTGCGTCGGAGCACCTGGAAACCTCACCCTGTTCCTGTCAGGGGTCAGCGACAACGGGAGGGTCTCGGTACAGTGCGACAACATCAGGGTAAGAAGAGAGATCGGAAGCGCAACGGTGTTGCTCTCAACAAGGACGGAGGGCGGAGACATCATCGATGAAGGCACGGCGACAGTGATTGTTGACCATGGCCGGTTGAGTCCATACAATCTCACCATGTCGGAGACTTCGGCTGGGCAAGCTTCCTCCATCAACGTATCCTTCACCCTTGGGACTTTCCTCGTGGCTGGGGACAACATCAGCTTCACCCTCCCCTACGGATTCGTTCCTTTTGACGGGGAGACAAGGATAAGGGAGGAGGACGCAACTTTTCAACTCCAGGGCCCCGTCGCAACCGTCTCCTCCTCCATTGTCTCCACAGACTCCCGCGGGGTTTCGACCTTCCTCGTCTCCTGCTCAGTTGCTCGCCAACTGAACAAGGGGACCAGGGTCTTCGTCGGGTTCATGGTCAGGAACAGAGGGTGGGAGGGTCCAGCTGGGGAGATTGTTGTTAGCGTTACCACCAACGTTGGCAAGCTCGTCGCTCACGACCTCTTTGCCCTGCCCCAGCTCAGGTATAACAACCTCACCACAGCTGGGCTGGTGCTGGAAGACGTGGTTGCCGGGGCCATCGGCACGGCGACGCTGTCGTTTGTGACGCAGAACATTCTCTACGCCGACTCTGCCATCTCCGTCTCCTTCCCCCCAAGCTTCGCCATCGACGACCGCGTGCTGCCGACGGGCCTGACCTCGGGAATCGACGGGGAAGTGTTCTGCAGGGTGGAAGGGGAGGACGTTATCATCTACCGCAAGGCTGGAACCCCCCTGGTCGACGTGGGGACCCGAGTCGTCATTCAGTTCACAGGCATCAGGATGAAGGAGGAATCAGACTGTGTCTTCGAGAACAATGTAGATGTCTGCAAGCTGACGGGGGGCTCGGCGACCGTCTCCGTGCTCGCCTTCGACTCGTTCGCCTCCGACCGAACTGTCCTCCAACTCGATCCGGTCAAGTTTGCGCTCCTTGAACGAGTGCAGGTCCTCCCCTCATCTCCCTTCGCTGGCTCTGAGCAGACGCTTCGAGTCAAAGTTCGACTAGCCAATCGGCTTCCCAAGGACGGGTCCGTTGTCCTGTCTCTTCCTGTAGGGTTCGAACTCTCTCCTCCTCTCTCTGCCATGCCGTCTGACCCCACTGTCGGCCGCTTCCTGGTCACCTCCTCCGCTCCGCTCGTCTTCCTTCTCCGGAGACTTGACGGAGTCGACCTGCACAAGGGCTTCCAACTGGACTTCAACTTCTCGGGCATACGAAACAGGCGCTGGGCAGGAGACACTGGTACATATCAGATTCGGACGCTGACGGCAGGGGGGGAGATAATTGATGCTCATTTTGCTGTACCAGGGTCGACCCTTGCTCCTGCTCCCCTTCAGAACGTCTTGTGCCTGACTGAGAGCAACTTGGCGGGAGTGACTACCCGCCTGCACCTGAGTTTTGCCGTCGCCAACCCCCTCCCTCCCGACGGCTCTATCGAGCTTGTCCTCCCCTCAGGCTTTTCCTTCCCGTACCGCATCTTCCTCGGAGACACGCAGCCTGAGTTCAAGGACAGTCTCCCTCCTGCCCAGCTCTCACCGCGGGCGGCGACGGTGGGAGGAGGGAGCTTGGAGGGAAAGCTGCAGATGATGGTGATTGAGGGAGAACGCAGCGCTGTTTTCCATCGGTATGACACCAACCAGACGCTGCTACCCTGTCCCTCATCAAGGCCAGAGGTCCAGAAGGAGAGGGAGGACATCGCTGTGGGTTGTGACGTCAGCAGTGACGTCTACCGCAACTGCTCGGTCGAGTTCACTGTAGACTTCATCAACAACGGGCAGGCAGGAGGGATCAACGACCTCTTTCTTGTGCGGACTTTGACGCCCGATGGCTCTGTCATCGACCAGGGAACGTACACGGCGGCAGCTCTTGTGCCGAGCGGCCTGCTGGGAAGTCGCATCGAGATCAAGAAATCAGGGCTGGCCTTGTCAAACTTCACCAACTCGGCAGCAGGAACTCTGACGAACATCTTTGTCTCCTTCATGGCCCCGACTACCCTCCCTCGAGATGGGAGGGTTCAGGTTACATTCCCGCCAGGGTTCAACCTTGACTACCTGTCCATCGGACAGGCCGAGACTCCTCAGCTGCAGCTGGGCTACCTTGCTAGCATCCAGGACGTCCCTTCCTTCAACACGCTCTCCATCTCAAGCTCGTCCGCTGTAGTCGGCGATCTCACGCTCGTCTCCATCAACTTCTCGCTCAACTTCGAGCCACCGGCCGGCTCGAAGATCTTAGTCAACAACCTTGGAGTCCTGCCTTTGCTCCGCCGCGACTTGACTGTGGGATGTTCCGGCTCCAGCCTCTTCGTGCCCTCCGCCATGGTCGACTCCAACAGCGTTTCCCTCCTCCTCCGATCCAGGGTAGAAGTTGGCAGGGAGGTGCAGGTTTGCTTCTGGCTGCAGAATCCAACGGAAATGGGAGGAGGAGAAAGTCCTGTAGTAGTCTTCCAACAGCCAACCTCCGACTCTCCTTGTTCAGCGGCCAATATCTCAAGCAACGTCTCCACTGTTGTCTTGCAGTCCAAGTACCTTCCCGAGATCGTGCATGCGAAGATCGAGGTAGCCAATTGGGTCACAGGGCAACTCAACACCATATCAGTGAGCTTCCAGTGTAATTTCACCCTTGTCAACTCCACCACAATCCTCATCCGCAACCTCCCTGCCTCGTCCACTCCGTCCACCGACCACCTGGAGGTCATGCAGACCGAGCTGTTCCTAGCAAGGAGCTGTCGTTGGAGGATGCAAGACAGAGCTGTGGAGTGTGTAGTGGACGCAGATCAGATCCCTGCCTGGACCTGGATCTCTTTCTCTTTTGTGCTCAAGTCTTCAGACTCGGCGTATGCTGCGGTACAAGAAGCGATCATGCTGCTCCTGGGAGGGAACTTGCAAGGCAACGTAACTTCAACCATTGACTTCGTGCTGCCGTCCTCGGACTCCCCGACTTTTGCGGTGAAACAAAGTCAGCAGAACTCAGGAGCGTACGGAGCGATCAACAGGATCACCCTGACTGTCAGGCCCAACGTTGTGTTGCCTGCAGGTTCGGAGATCACCATCGCTGGTCTGAGGAGAACAGATATCTTCCAACCCTTGATCATTTTTCCTTCTGACGACTACTCAAGGAGCCTTGTCAGCTCAGCTTCGGTCTCGCAAGGCGAGGATGGAACTTTGGTCTTGGCTCTGATGACAGACATGTCAGATGTTAGAGACGCTAGTCTCTCCTTCTTGGTGTTCAACCCATCCTACCACAGCCAAGGTCGACAGTTGAACATAAGCGCCAGCTCTCTTTCTGCCCTCCTGTCCCCTGTGGTGATGGACGGGCTTGTTCTATCAACTTCGGAATCTCCCTCCTTCCTCCTCCTCAATGCTTCCTACTCCAACCCGGCTCCCCTTGAGGTCAACATGATTAGTCTCCGGATCTCTACGAACTTCAACCTTCCTCCTCGAGCCCAGCTGCGCATTTCCAAGCTTCCTCCCTTCGACAGCCTCGTCAGCAGCTCGTGCAGGTCACGAACGATCGGAGGGTCGTCCTGCTCCTTCCCCTTCGACTACCTGGGAAGAAGATGGTACGGCTGCGTCGACTCCTTCCCGATAACTTCTCATCTCCCTGCTCCCTCTCCCCCATGGTGTGCGATTCAGCCAGACCTCGGGAGACGCATGGAGGCGATGGACTCTTGGAGTCTACATGACCTGCTCCAGGAGGAGGAGGTGACTTGGGGATACTGCCGCTGCGACCACAACCTGACGCAGCTGCATGGAAGCAGCGCAAGCTTGTTCGGGGAGGCTGCGAGCTGGAACGCGGCGAGCGGCTCTATCTCGATGTGGCTGGAGGAGGGAGAGCTTGTGGTTCCCGGGCAGGAGCTTTCACTCTCTCTCTTTGCCCGCAACGGCCCTCTGACCTTGGAGAACTCGATCTTGAACCTGCGGCCCTTCGTGGAGCAGGACTGCAGGACCATTGTGTTGCCCCTCAAGCAGGGTGATGACGTGGCACTGGAGGTATCTCAAGTGATCCTCGTACCGGAGACCTCTGTCCTCATCAGAAACGTCTCCTCACTCCCAGCTGCTGACCAGCAGGGGGAAACGCAGTATAACGTGAGCTTTTGTACGTATGGTTCGACCCTGACAGACAACTCCTACGGCTTCGCGCCATGGTTGGAAGCGCACGTCAAGGACGTCCGACCAGTCGACGGGAGGCTAGCTGTCAGTTACGACGATACAGGCTGCAAGAGTGTGGAGCAGAGCTTGAGCGCCAAGAACGCGTCCACATGGTACACGGTGCTGCTCCAAGATCAGGTCGGATACGTTAACGGCAGCCTCCCCCCAGACCGGATGGACTTTGACTTCCTTGATACACTTCAAGTCCACATGCAGCTTGTCTACCATGACTACCCCAACCCCGAGGCAGCGCTGACCAAGATCGAGATGTCCGTCCGCAGCAATGTCCAGCTAACCGCCGGCAGTGTTGTGCAGCTGTGCTGCTTCGCTTTCAGCGACCCCTCTCCGACGTCTCTGCTCGCCACCCTGGTGGGCAAGGACGCGGAGCGGTTTGAACCTGAAGCGGTGCTGGACGGGGAGGCTGGGACACTGCAAATGACGGTGAGAGCTGGTCAGGCCATCAGTTGTGATGAAGATGTGAAGGTGTCATTGTGGGCAGACAGTGAGCGAGTGAGAAACTTGCGACAGAGGATCTTTACAGTTCGCAACTCCAACATGTTCTACAAGGCCTCGATCCTCCCAGCAAACAGTTCAACGGCTCCCTCCTTCCTGGTGAGCAATATCCGGGACACCACCGACACCTTTGACTCGCTGAATCTCATCACTCTAGAGGTTCAGACGAATGTTGAGATTTGCTCTCCAGCTGTCATCACAATCTCCCAGCTCTCTTCCTCCTCTACTTCTTCCACTTCCTTCCGCTGGAACAGCGACCACCCTTACAGGCTGTATGGCCAGCATGCAAGGTACTTCCAAGGAACTTTCACCAACGTGTTCAACCAGTGCGCATCGCTCAGCAATCTTGACTGCAAGGACAGCTCTGCAACCCTGCTGTTGTCGCTTGACCACCCTGGACTCTGCCTTGACCCCCATCACGTCATCTCAATCTCCTTCTACCTGCGCAATCGCGGGTATTTCTCTCCAGGCGGCTTTCCTACTGTCTCTCTATCAGCAAGGAACTCCGACGATGAGGACTACTCCATCGGCCAACAGGAGCTTGTAGGCGGTCCCGTCCTCCGCGCAAACTACCCGCAGTCCTTTGCCGCCGCAGGCATCTCCTCCTCCTCCACTGTGCTCGGCTCGATGAACCAGGTATCGATCGCCTTCTCTCCCAACTTCTACGTCGAGCAGGGGTCAAACTTCACCCTCAGCGGCTTCGTGGACGCCTGCCAGGCACGGACTTTTTTCCTCCCCGAGTGCTACAACTCGGAGAACCCGAGCTCCGACTTCTTCGAGCTCCGAGGAATATCCGCCAGCCTGTTTGACAGATCCGCCAGGTGGGATCGCACCAAGGGGACGCTGGTGATGTCAAACAAGAACTTCGGAATCCCGTCAGGGCATGTCGTCGAGATCATGTTCTACCTCAAGAGCTCCTGCCAGCCATCGCAGTATCAGGGGGTTTTGCTGCTGTTCTCAGGCAAGGTCAAGACTCGACTTGGAACCTTTGAAGCTCTTCACGATAGCAGCCGACTGCTCCTGAGGAGGATAGGAGACGGAGAGGACTACCTGCATGGGGAGACGGTCAGCCTGACTCTTTCCAGCGTGCGCCTCCCCAGCAGGGCTGGGTACTCTGGAGACTTCTCCATCGAGACGCAGACTAGAAGTGGAGTGCAGCTGAGCTACGACAACAAGGTGAGGGGATTTGCGGTCCAGCCCTCCTCCCTCACAGCCCGTTTGACACCGTCGCCCCTCCGAGCTGGAGCTTACGGGGAGATGAAGATCGAGCTGGAGATGTCGAACGAGGTTCCCACGAACGGTCTCATTCTCATCTCCTTCCCAGCTGGGTACGAGCTGTGCAGCCAGCTGGGGGGCCAGCTGCCGGCCGACGAGGGCAACCGCACGCTCTGCTTTGGGCTCCGCGTCGTGTCGTCGTCGAGGCCGTTGACGTTGAGCATCGGGACTGAGTCGGATCAGTTCACTGAAGCATCCTTCGGGTCCAGCGTTGACTCGCCCCTCCGCGTCCTCCTCACCAACAAAGGGCAACCGATCCAGCAGAGAGAAAAAGTCTTCCTGCTACTCAAGGGCCTCCGGTTCCCTTCGTTTCTGTCCGACAAGGGCAAGATGTTCCAGGTCAGGACGCTGACGGAGCAGCAGCAGCTCATCGATCAGGACTTGGCCGTCTTCGGCGACTTCGACTTTGGTCCCGGCGAGCTCCGCTCCGCCTCGATCTCCTTCGACACAACCGTCGCTGGAGAGTTTCCCAGCTTCACCATTAGCCTCGTCACTTCCAACCCTCTGCCGCCGTCCTCGCGCATCGACCTGGAGTTCCCCCCCGGCTACCGGATGTTCAACTCGCTGTCAACCGTCGAGGCGTCAAAGTTCGGCTTCAGGTGCGAGGACCTTGACTCTAGACTGCTCCACAACATCTCGATCTCCCCAGCTGGCAGCCCTTCCCTTGTCATCTGGCTGGACGGCAGCCAGGAAGTCCCTCCTGGGGTTGTGCTGAGACTACGCGTCTTTGTCGTGTCTCCACAGAGGGATGTCTACCCTTATAGGCTCGGCCTTCAGAACCCGAGGGAGTCAGGAACTACTCAAACATTCACTTTGAGGACGAGGAACGGGGCTGGTGACGTCATCGACTCTGCCCAGGTCAGCGGCGTTGAGATTCTTCCTGGGGTGATCAGATCGGCAAAGATCTCTTTGACAGACGCTAGGGCCGGGGAGCTGTCAGGCTTGCGAGTCTCCGTGTTCCCTGCCAACGTGATCCCTAGCAACTTCTCCATGAGGCTCGCGTTCAGTGAAGGGGACTTCGAAGGAGTCTTAACTGACTTTGTCAGCAACGAGCAGAACAATTTCACGTACATGGTGAGTACAAACGAGATCTTGATCCGTTTCGATCGTCGAGACGCCATCGTTCCTTGCCTTGCAAGCTCTTGTACGTTCAGTGCAACCAGCCTGCAAGACAGCCTGTTGTCCTATACTGGCTCTCCTGTTCTGAGGGCTCAGCGCAATACGATGGATCAAAGTCCAGATCACTATATCCAACAGAACTCCTTGCACAGATTTCTCGCTTGCGGCTACTCCTTCGAGTCTAGGATTGTTCACAGGCTGCTCAACGATTCGTTCGGTGAACCAACGGGATTTTTCTTGGAGGGATCCAACGATGGTATTCACTTCGACGTCATCGACAGAGTTGTCAACACTACTTCCTTGTCCTCCCGGCCTCCAGTCTTCTCAAACTTCTTCTCTACCCCGGCGTTCTACCGTCATTTCAGGATCGTCATAACTTCGATCTTCGGCGACTTCTCCCACAGCAAGCAGACTTTGGTGCAAGACTGGCGCATGCTCGGTTGCCAGAACCAGCCAACTCTCGTCACCTCCCCTTGCAGCCTGCTGGTTGAGCTGCCGGGAGTCGTGAAGAATCGAAACTCGTCGGGTTTGACTAGCGACTTCACGGTTGAACTCTCGAGAGATGACGGGGTAGTCATCGACCGGAGCACGAGCGTCAGAGGACCGGTCATCGCTCCCAACAGCCTGCTGGGATCTCAGATCAGCCTCTCCTCCCTTCTGGCTGGAGCTTTATCGACAGTCAACGTCTCCTTCATCCTTCATAACGGCATCCCACAGCAAGGTCACATCCAAATCTGCTTCCCCACCGGCTTCAACCTGTCCTCCTCCCACGTAGCCTCTGACGTCCTGAGCTTGACCAAGGTTGACGACGGCAGCGACCGGGCGCCCTGCGTCGAGCTCTCCCTCCTGTCCGCCGTGATGGGGCCGGGGGAGCAAGTGAAAGTCTCCCTTGCCGACGTTCACCTTCCCCCTCAGTCCGGGCCCTCCGGAACTTACCAGATCAGGACTTTCCTAGGACAAGATATCCTTGATCAAGACCTCTCAGTCACCTCCGACGCCTTCACAGTCCCTGATTTCCAGCTAGCAGAACTCGTTCTCAGCTCTGACATGGTCGCCTACCCCAGCTGCATCGAGCTCATAGTCACCCCTTCGAATCCGATCCCTGCCACCGGCCTCCTCCTGTTATCGATCCCCACAAAGTACCAAGTTCTGCAGCCCGTGCACGCCCGCTGGCTTGACCGAGCAGACCTGGGGCTGCTGGTGACTACATACAACGAGACATCGGGAGAGTTTCGAATGAGTCGATACGGAGGAGGAGAGGTCAGGGAGGGAGAGACAGTCAAGATTCAAATCTCGAGCATCATCAACGCTCGTCAATCTGGGCCAACAGGCTCGTTCGGCCTCTGCGCCTTCCCCTCCCCGACGGCAGGGGCAAGCAACTGTGCTCCTCCCCAGTGCGAGGGATGCGGAGGAACTGTCAGGTACATCCAACCTCCGACGCTCCTTCCTTCCCGCCTGCAGCAGACGGCTGTAACGGAGAGCGGCAGCGAGACAGGAGCGAACGGGTTGGAAGTCAGTTTTGTTCCCGCGATCGAGGTAGAGCAGAGGTCGTCGATGGAAGTGACCGTACCGTCGAGCTTCAGGGTGGGAGAAGTTTACATCGATCGGTTTGACATCCGGTGTGAGCATGAGGGGTGTCAGGCCCTGAAGGCAAACTTGACATGGCTTGTCATCAGCTCTAGCCCAGCTGAGAACTGCACTGGCTGTCAAGTCATCACCATAGCCTCCCTGCCAAGGGTCCCTGCAAGTTGCAACTTCCTCGTGCGACTGCGCAACGTCCGGAATCCCGTCAAGCCGTCAGGCTGCCTGGAGGGAGAGTTCAGCATTAAGATCAGAGAGCCGCTGGGTTCGTTGGTTCAGTTTGACTCGCTGCCGCTGGGCGCTGGCGACGTCGTCGGGGGAAGGCTGAAGAACTTGTTCGCCTCCTACGTGAACGAGGCTGGAAGCCATGCGGTGCGAGCAGGGGACACAGTGGATCTTTTTATCGAGTGGGAGACTATGAGAAACTTCTACACCCCAGAGAACATGATCTCGTTGATCCTAGCAGACGACTTCGTGTGCGACGACAGGAGCGAGGTGTTCATCGGAGACGGCAGCAGCCCCAACATCACCTCCACAAGCTTCACCGAGCGGCTCAGTGGCGGCTGCATCAACTCTACTTCCTTCAACTTCTCCCTCAACTCTCTTACCTCCGGGGCCCTCAGGATGAAATTCTCCTACGTGCGGGTCCAGCCATTCTCCAGCACCCCCTCCACCTTCAGGGTCGAAGTGCTTGCGCCCTGCCAGCGCAATGGCAGCGATACGTGGACCCTTGTCGACTCCAGCTCCAACTTCGCGGGCTCGCCCATCGCAGCTGGAGTCATACTGGACCCGAGGGTCAACGTCCTCAACGACAAGGCTGGGATCTTGACGTACCTGAACTTGACCTTCACTCCTAGGAATCCGGTCCCTCCCCGCTCCTCCTTCCTCCTTGCCCTTCCCGCCGGCTTCAAGTACGCGTCGACGCTGCCCACGGCGTACCTGACGGTGAAGAACGGGACAGAGATCTCTAGAAAGCTGCAGCTGGACCTTCCCTCGGAGGGCCTGGTCCGCATGATGGTGGAGGAGGACTACGTGCGGCAGGGAAGCGTCGTCAGTGTCATGCTGCACGAGCTCAAGTTGCCGACGAGGTCGCGAGTGACCAACACGTTTCAGCTCAGGACGATCCTGGAAGGAGGTCAGGTGATCGACGAGGAACTGCAAGTGGGAGGGATCGCGATCGCTCCAGGATCCTTCCTGCCTTCCATCCCCCCCAAGTTCGCCCCTGACATGCTTGCTGCTGGGTACCTTGGGAACCTGTCAGTTCAGTTCATGGCATCCAACGACCTTCCGAGTGACGGCAAGGTAATCTTGTACGTGTACGATCAGTTCAGAATCGACGGCGTGTCCTCCGTACTCCCGAGCTCCGTCTTTGACCGGCCCTTGTCAAAATCTGGCATCCAGACTGCCCTTGATGGAGGGTTGGGGTTCTACGTGGAAGGGCAGAAGCTGGTCGTTCAGAGGGACGGGAAAGGGCGGGACGTGCTGGCGGGAGAGCTGGTGAGCTTCACAGTCGTTGGGGTTGAGAACCAGTACGGGGAGGGTCCTACGAGCACAGCAAGAATTGAGACCAAAGACTGCCAGGACTACGTCATCGACGTTGCCGTCTTCCCTGCCCTCACGCTGAGCCGTTCGTCCTTCCTCTCCATCTCCTCCTCTCGCAGCCCAGACATCGCGTCCTCCTTGGCCAGCTGGACCATCGGGTTCGAGCTGGAGGGCCACCTGCTCCCGGGCTCGATCCTGTCCATTGACATGATTAACGAGACAAACGCAGGGAACGAGCAGGTCGAGGTCTTGAGCAAGGGCATGTGGAACTTGACGCAGGTGAACTCACGGTACATTGAAGTAACTCTCCTGTCCTCCACTCCCATCGCTCCTCGAACTCCCATGGTGGTGGAGCTGGCGGGAGTTCAGAACTCGTTTGCTGCTCGGAGCATCTGGTACACTCTAGACCTCCTGTCCCCCTCCAGCCGCAAGGTGTCCAGGTCTTCTCAGCTTGAGATAAGCTTCTCTCCTTGTCTCTACCAACCCATGGAGCTCACAAGCTCTGTTCAGACTCAGACGTCAACGACAACATGGCGGATGAGCTTTCAAACACGGAGCCCCATCTCAGCTCTGAACTCTCTACAGCTAAACCTCCCTCCTCTCTTCTCCTTCACTTCAACTGTCTCCGCCTCCTTCGTCTTCCCTCACGGCACCTGCAGCATGGAGGTCAAGGTGGTGAACGATACGACAGTGAACTTGGCGCTGTCAGCCGCGACGTGCTCCAGGAACGCCAGGCAGAACGACGTCGTGACGATCGAGGTCGCCGGGGTCGTGAACAGGCCGTACGCTGGAAACGCGGAGGGAGCTGAGCTGCTTGCGTTCGATGCAGATGGATACCTGGTGGAGAGGAGGAGCGGGGAGATCCTGGTGACTGTCAGTCAGTCTCTGTCGCCGATGATGACCATTTCCTCTGCTGTTTGCGGGGCATTCAACGACGTGACTCTATCCTTCAAGATCACAACCCCCCTCCCAGCAGGAGCCTACATCGCCGTCCAGCTCCCGCCCTCCTTCGCCTTCCTCCCCAAGTCGAGGTTCCTCAACGTCTCCGGCCTCCCGTTCCAACTGGAGGTCTCCTCCGACAGCCTTCGTTCCAACCTCACGCATGCCTTCTACGTTCCTCGTCGACCTGAAGACGGGCCCCTGATCCTGCTCACTTGCCTGCTGGGCGAGACCCCGTTCACCTCCCTCGACTTCACGCTGGTCGGCGTCAAGAACCGGCCATGGACCGGGCCGTCCGGCCCGTTCGGGCTGACTATCTTCACTGGCGCCATGCTCCTGATCCAGCAAGACTCCAACGTGCAGGGGTACAACCTCGAAGTCGCTACCATCCTGAGCCCCAAGGCTGAGATCTCCTCCTTCCTCTCCGTCGACGTCGTGACGCTCAAAGTCTCCCTCCTCCTCCCCAACTTCCTCCCTCCCGGCTCCCTCCTCCGATTCAATCTCTCGTCTGCCTTCAGAGCAGGGAACGACACTGCCATCAGCGACCTCGTCGGGATCTCCGCAGAGTTGCAGCAGGGAGCAGCAGGCTCATCGAGCTTGCTGCTGACAACAGGAGGGAACCCGACGGAAGGGACGGCTGTTAGCTTCCTGCTTTCAAAAGTGAAGGTGTTTGAGCTGCCACTGCGTGAACAGGTAGATGCCTTCCATTCCCCCTCTCCTCCCTCCCTCCATCTCCTCCCTCCCCTTCCTCTCCCTCTCTCTCCTCCCTCCCTCCCTCCTTCCCTTCCCTCCCTCTGACTCTGCCTCCCAAGATGTTAGGATACGCCACTTTCCTCCCAGACTTGACGCCTGTCGACGTTGCCCACAACGTCAAGGTCGTCGACCGGGGCCTCAACAAAGGTTTCATCACTCTCTTTAGCGGGGAGGAAGCAGTTCTTCTCGACTACTCCGTCTCCAATCAGGCAGCAGCTGACACTCCTCCCTCCCTCCCGTCTGACTTCCCCGCAGGCCATGGTCAAGAGGAGCGTTGGGGTCAACGGGATCACTCAGGGCCTGTCGACCCTCGACCCTCAGGGAGGAGCCGTCTACTTCGCCGCTAACAGCCGTGTCCTCAGCTATGACCTGGTCACTTCCGCCATATCAGAAGTGCCGATCAACGTGTCAGGAAGCGTCCTGCTCCTCTCCTGGGACTCCAACGCAAGCTCCTTGCTCGGCCTGCTGATGTCCCCCGAGCAGGGCACTGTCTTCTTCCGCTATGATAGGTACGAGCTAGTCTCAAGCTGGACAACCAGCTGACCCCTGCCGCAGACTTCAAGCGACTGTGACGACCAGGAGCCTCGAGAGCTTCTGCTTCGCCTTCGAGTGCTCCATCACCCCAGCAGTATCAGCTGCTGACGTCAGAGGAGGGCGATTCTTCTTCGCTACCCGCACCATGGTCGTGGCCCTCGATTCCACCACAGGCGAGCTGCTGTCCCACGTCAACATCGTCAGGGACGAGGACACCTTTGGCGGCCTCGCCTGCATGGAGTTTCTCGACAGGCCCCTGGACCCTCTCGATCGACCGCTGGGGCTGCTCGCTGTTGCTTCCCGCAACCACACCCTCCAACTGGTTCAGCTCGACCCCAGCAGCGGCACGATGACTCTTCTGATGTCGATCTTCGACGAGAGGTTCTCGCGTCAGCTCGTGCTGGGGGCTTCGGCTGTATCGCCGTCACAAGATGCTCTGTTTCTCCTCGCTCAGAACGGGCTGGTCAAACTTGACCTCCGGGCCCGGACCATGGCCATCTACGATCTCGGCTTCGCCCGCGGTGGGATGCCGGCTCCTCACCCCTGGGTGCTAGTGGAGGTGTCAAGGTTCTTTCCGTGGGACACGCAGACAGTGTCAGTCCCTTAAGAAATTATTCAAACTCCTTCTTCTGAGTGTTAAAGGTAACAATAAAATGTCAGTCACAAGCTTCCGATGCGATTCGCTGCTCCTGAAATCAGACTGTCTCTTCGGTCTGCGAGCTGTTGTTCCCCTGTAGCCGACCGATGAGATCTCCGATCTTCCCTGAAAGCCTCCGGCTGAAGAATGGAATGAGTTATCGTACAGGACAAGAAAGGAGTAGAAGGGAAGGATGAGTGAGGTAGCAAGGAGTAGGAAGGTAGTAACAAGTAGGAAGGAAGGTATCGGACAAGAGAGAGAAGTAGGGGGGCAAGTGAGTGATTGAAGATTTTGACTCAGAGTCTGGAATCTCAAGGAAGTGAGCTCTGCCAAGAGGGTTTGGGAGACGATAATTGTTGGGGGGGAAGAGAAAGAACCTCGGTCTGCCAGAGCTCGGTGTCGTGCTCCCCTGCTCAGGCATCAGTTCAAGACAAGAACCATCACAAGACACTCACATCTCCTGGGATCGTGAAGTTCGACAAGGTAGAGAGATCCTTGGGGCTCGGGAGGACCACTGGATCTGACTTTCATGTTAGGGGAGCTATCGGAGGGCGACAAAGAGCGAAAGATTACCTACTCCACGCTCGTTGATGGTTTCTATACCAATCTGCATACTTTATCAACGAACAATCATCCCACTCAAGAGGGCTGTACCTTGTTGGACTGAGACAAGCCCTTCTCCCGCTTTGATTCTTCTGTGTTGACATACTGCAGCCCAGCAACGAACTCTTGAAACACAGGCTTCTGGGTCATAGGCGTGAAGTCACGTCTGTCGTCCAAGCTGGCGGAGCCAGGCACCCGCGCGCTTCCTGCTCCTGCCCCTGCTCCTGCTCCTGCTCCTGCTCCTGCTCCTGCTCCTGCTCCTGCTCCTGCTCCTGCTCCTGCTCCTGCTCCTGCACCTGCTCCTGCTCCTGCTCCTGCTCCTGCTCCTGCTCCTGCTCCGACCACGATACCAGACCCAGAGCTGACACTGGTTCCCGGTCCATCAATAGCTCGTTCAAGATATGCATTCTGCGCGAGCAACCCAACTGAATTTCCATCTGGTACAAGTCGCATCAACAACCTGCAGTACAGGACGAATGATCACCATCGTTCTCATATCCTTCCAACTCCGACGGCTCTGCGTCTCTCGAGTCGAGGACCTAAGGTACCATCATGATTGAACTGACGATCAATATCTCAAGGTCACCAATAGTCGATCCCCTACTCGCACGTCTGCTTCAGCTGCTGCCCCACCGGCCCTGGTTGAACGACTTGAGGAACCCTTTTATCAGTGATTGAGGTCACTCAGGACCTGACTGCTGCTATGCAGACAAGTCCAGACTCTTCATGTACCCCCAGTGCAAGCCCCAGCCCACTCTTGCGAGCCTGAGCTAAATCAGAAAACAATCCCCTAGGCCCAGCCATGCACCTGAAGGGTCAGCAGCCGCTGCCTTGCTGGGCCCCCAGCATCTGGTCCGCGCAACACAACCAGCTCGATCGTCTTGCGCTCCTGCTCATCATCAGAAGCGAGAGAGGGCAGGACTTGACATCGCGACCTGCGAAAGCGTCTGGAGCAGACTCTGAACTTGAGGTAGAGAAGCGCCGCGCAAGTCCGTCCCGACCTCAAGAGCTTCCTTCGCAAGCGGCAATGGGGGCGTGCTTTGGCTTGCAAATCCGAAGTCCGTGCTTGGCAGAGGTGCACCGTTGACATTTTCAGGAATGAGCCATCTCCCTGCGTTGTACCTCCTGGTTTCACGGAAAGAAGCATTCAGGCAACTAATCATAATCGATGATGTCAAACAACCTGTCCCACTCATACACAGCAATGCTACTTGCACGGTCAACAATCAAGATGTTCTGCAACAGAATGAGGAACACTGCAGCCGGGATACGCCAACTACCTCCGGGCTCTGTTCGACTGAAAACAAATCATGTACCCAAGGGACATTCCAGATCGAATGGTTTGCGATGTCCCAGATCACCTGTACTTGTCATCACGAAGCTTGAAACAGCAGACTGTAAAGACCTCGTTCGTTTGCTCGTCTACAACTTGGATGGGATTGAACCTATCTGGACCTTCCACCCTGATCTGCATGATTGATGTTCAACGTACTGTGTTGCCATGTACCCAAGACAACTTACTGTCCTCCCTTTCCATAGGTACAAGCCGTTGCTCTCCTGATAAACCAGACCGGAATCAGAATAATCATCTTTCGCTCGTTGATGTGGAAGAGGGAATGTGCACCTGGTCTGTAATTGGTTGCATCTCATTATCGATGACTGCATAATCCGCATAGTTGACTTGTCTAGATAGAACCTGCTTGTTTTCTTAAACAACTCTCTTAAAATTCTCATGCAACACAAACCAGAGCATCGATTTGTTCTCCAGCCTGCTCGCGGATCCATCTGGACAGAGCAGATCACTAAATGAGGATGCGCATCACGATTGATTGCAGGATTACTTCCGAAACTTGGAAATTGCTTCGAAATTGACATGCTTGAAAGAATGGTTCTGCCTGTCATGATAACACGTGAGCAGACCTCTTCTAGCCGATGTTTGAAGTAGACGACCCATTCGTCCGAACATTCGAAGGTAAAGAGGAGCTGACCTGCACAAAAGCTCATGATAGTTATAAGTAAAACAAACTTACAATGGAGGGGGTGTGAAAGGTGGTATTGAATGGCTGGATGAACTCTGCGGAGACCTGCATGATGTTGGTCCTGATTTTCCATGAGGAAGCCTATCTACCTTCAACTTCGGCCTTTCATCATCTTGGCTGTAATACGAGTTTCCATTCTGTTCGATCACAATCACAATCCGTCAAACCTCCAAGTTGAGTACCTCGTAAGAATGGTTTCTGTCTGCGTATGAGTCTTGCTGAGAGGCATCGCCATGAGAGGAGACAGCGCTGGTATATTCGAAGTACCTGAACTCCTACAAAAGTGGAGGATGCTTGGCTCCTGTAACTCTCCCTTGGTGTGACATGAAACTTATCTAGCAAACAGGCGATAAGAAACGAAACAAAGTGATTCTTCACAATGCAAGTTTTCGTATGAGAGTGTATCACATCTACCTCCAGGATAAAACTTCGGCGGATGTTGAGGCGCATTGCTCTGGACAGTACTTGTGTACGAAGTATTGTACTTGGGGTTGGTTTCGGGGCCAAATACCGAGTCAAGGAACAAACTTATATTTTCCTATCAATTCTCAGAGGGAGGAGGCTCGACATTGCATGAAGGCACCTTGATACTCTGCCCCCAGTCCGACATCTTCGAGAAACAGAGACCTGGGGAGTGAACCCATGAAAATGATTTCACAGCGAGGACACTACTGCCTTGTCCAACCCCTTTCCGGATCCAAATACAGCGTCGATCCCACATGATGATGTTCCACCTCCTATCATGGAATTCTCCTTGGAAAAAGACACCCTCTTTTCCCATCACCTCTGCTATGTTTCCCTGTACTTTCCTATCCTCGGAAGCTTATCACTCTCCTTCCCACTCATTCTCCATACATTCCTCGCCCCGATTTTCTCTAATGCCGTCTGCCTGACCCAACCTTTATCCTCTTCTTCCTAGATTTTCTTCTCTCTGTTTGTCAACATTCATTCTGCCCCTTCTTACATCCTCCGCCCGCTCCCATTCTTCCTCTCGTCCCTCCCTTCCTCTCTATCCCTACTTCCCTCCCTAGTGCCATCTCCTACTGCGCCTCTTCTCCTCCCCACCCCCACCCACCCCATCCTACAATAAGTTGGTACCCCTTACCCTCTCACTTCACCATGTACCCCTTCATTGTATTGTAAATGTACCCTTTTGCTCCTCCGTGAATGGACCCTCACCCTCTTGAATAGACTACCCTACCTCCAGAAACTCGGTTGGGATAACCCCCTCTGCCCAACATTCAGGTTTCCATTACCCACCCCCCATACAATGTACCCAGCGAGCTATATATGAAACTACCCACCCCAGGACAGGACCCCTACCCAATCGATTGTGCTCTCACTGTGTGGTAGTACCTTTTAGTGACTACTTGAATATTAACTAAATATTTGTATGAAGATTGCAACACTGGTACAAATTAAAAAAGATTTCGAAAGACTTTAAAATCAAAATCCGAAGATCTAATTATTTGTAGGAGCAAAAATGAACTTCACAAGAGGAATTTTAAAACCTAAAAGAAATTCAACTATAAACATAAAAGTATTCATCATTGTACCAAAATGACTCTCAAGTACTGCGGTACTTTTTATTCTAGATCAGCCTACTATATCGAGTCCGCCTCAGCAGGCACCGGTCCGGCAGTTGGCAGGACTCGGGATTGGGTTTGGTTCTCGCTGTCTTTTCTCTTCTCGCCGTTTGGCCTGTGCGACAGTGTCAGGGTCAAGCCTCCTCGACTCGCCTGATTGTCCTCGTACTGCTTTTTAACTTAACTTTGAGTAAACGCCGACAACTCGTACTGATCTTTGACTCAACTTTGAGTAAGAAAGGCTCAGTTGAACCGTGTGCCACTGATACGGTGACTCGTGAACAAACCGAGCTTTCACACGATCGGGCCGGGCAACTTCGTGACCCGGCGTTCAAGTCCGGGCCCGGCAGTCGGCCCCGGCCCGGCCGCCGCGGACTCGCCGGGCCCGCGGCCTCGGACTCGGAGGCTCAGTCACATTCAAGTTTTAAGTAAAACTTTTATAAGCCAGTGACCCAGGGGGACGGTTGGCTGGCTGGTCTCAAGGATTTGAGATAGGGGTAGGGTAGTTGACTGAGAGAAGGGGGGTAAATACAAGAAGGTTTTGGTAGAAAACAGGGGTGGGTACAGCAGGGAAGTGGCCGGACGAGGGGGGTAGGGGTTTTCTTTTACTGCTGATGTGCCTTTGTGGCATTGAGCTTTGATGTGGGGTGGGGTATGTTGAGTACCCGTATTTTGAGCACAATTATGTGGGAAAGAAGTAGGGTACAGTACAAAAACTCGTGGTGGTCAAAGGAAGGGGTGTTATATAGGTCATCCGTTATCTGGCGTTTCCATGCTGCTGGGAAGGGGAAGTAGAGATCAGCGGGGGGCGTCGTGAACAGAGGAGAGGACAGGAGAGGGGAGGAGAAGAAAAGTGATGAGTCTGATAGTAAGTTGCAGCAAAGATGCTATCAGATGAGAGTAGAATGTCTTCTCTGTTCTGCTGCGGAGCGTAGATGTTGCGAAGGTACTGTATGCGACAGGTCTTTGAAATTTGACCAAAGAGCTGGGGACAATTGATGGTGTAGGGGAGGCAGGTCCGAGATCCTAGGGCCAATTATCGTCAATGCACATGAAGAACTGTTTTCGGGAGGTTTTTGTGTGTAGACCAGAATCAGAACAGTCTTTACCACGTTGTATCCGTGTGATACGAAGCGAGATATTGTTGAGCTCAGTTGTGTGATATCGTTCTCTTTCAACGAGTAGCACCGCTGGACAATGAATTTAAGTTGAACTGAATGAAGCACAATCTTAGCCACAAAGTACAATCTCAACCAAACGTTAGATCGTTGATCCTTTCGTCGCAGCAATGAGGTATATCGAGAAGCCCGACATTCTCGAGCCCTTGTAGGATACCAGCAAGGTGCTTGAACCCTCTGACGGGCAGCAAGTTCGCGATTGAGGTTCTCGTAGGTTTCATGGAACCAACCTCGGGCAGATCTGGTCATTATACAGGAAGGCGAGACATGAGCCGGGCAGTCGCATGTGGGTGGCTGAAATACATGCAGGAGGGCAAGTTCAGCTTCAATGAAAGAAAGAAAGGTCATGGCTAGCGTGGATCTCGGCAAGAGTGCCGATAGTATGGTTTCACGTAGATACTCGTTGACGAGTCCTCAAGGTAGCCACGGAGGAGTCTTGGAGATAGGGCAAAGATTCGGTTCACTAAAGTTCTTTGCAGGCGGGTCCCAGAATCCATCAAAGATTGTTGACAAGTAGGCTGAGCTTACTCGAGTGTGTCTTGTAGTCATGGATGTCTGCTGCAGTTTCCGAGATGCTGTCTCCAAGAACAGAGCAAGCTCGGCCAGTAGGAGCATGGACAAAAACGCTGTGTCCAGCTTTGTGAAATTCCATCCGTACAGCCAGCGCTTGACAGTGTTAAAGGAGCCCGGCAAGGTCATCTGAATTTCCTTGTCGATATTCATCCTGACTATGTTGATGGGATCAGAGCAATGAGCATAGCCGAAGTCACCAAGACAAATCTGCCTGGGCGCCATCGGTGCAGAAACGATATTCCTGTTTCCTCGTTGATGCCATATTAGATATCCAGAAGAATACAGGCTGCCATGATGAACGAAAGGGCCAATACCATAGGTATCAGTGTTTGTTGCTCCTGCAAGCAGTCATTAGATCTTTGTTACAGTTGAGCAACTCCAAGCGCACATTGTGAAACTTCAGGCATCACAAACCACTGCACGTTGACGGGTTCTGATGAGAGCTCAGGTTCGAGTGTTGTCACAAGACGACGAGATCGAGTTGCTCAAGGTGAAGCATGGATCGGGTCTTGATGTTGCGATCAACTCACACGACCTTCAGGAAACCCATGACAAGCAATCTTTACATCTGAGAGAAAGTCTGGTGGGTCACATGTTTGATGATTTGATCATGTTTGTTTTCATGCAAGTTACGGGCAACTAGGAATCATTGCAAGTCCAGCATGAACAACTGAAGGCTAAGTACGATCTGCTACAAAAACAGTGAGTGATGAAACTTATGTCGACTTTGTAACTGAAAAGCATTTTTCTTTCAGAGCTCATCCTCAAAGCCCTCAAATTGTGAGTTTGCTAACACAGCAAGTGAATTCTGTTTCACTTGATGGACAGGCCTTGGATGGACATCAAAATGATACCGATCGGGATGGAGCAAGGCATCGGGGGAATGGCAGCAGAGGGAACTGGGGGTATGCTATAAAACGTTTCACTGCGATGGAGCTGAATGTTGTCGAAGCGATGAAGAAACTACAAACCATTTCTCGGTGCAGGAAGAGGAGAGTGCAGGTGATGTTAGACAAATTTGTTACATCGACATGACGATTTTCCTCAGTGTGGAGACGAAAACACGATGACGTGGCAATCCAGCTAGAAATCAAGAACAAGGAGGTCGAAGACTTTCGTCGTGCTGCAATGGACTTGGAGCAACACTGCAAAAATCTCCAAGAAGAGATTGCAACCCTCCAAGGAGATCTGGAATACCTGCAGAATGAGAAGCAATCCCTGGAAAACGAGCACAACACCTTACGAAAGGATCTGGACCAGGCGCAAGACGAGCTCAGGGAAGCTCATCTGCAGCTGAGCAGCTCTTCCGCGATCGTGGAGCCGCTCAAGGCTACCTTGAAGGAACTGCAGAGTGAACGAGACAACATGGCAGAGGAGCAGGCGAGGATTAAGGAGGAGGAAGCGAAGGCGAAGGAGGAGCTCGCAGAAGCTCGGCAAATGCTGGTCAAGCTGCAGGAACAGCTGGACAAGTCTATAGAAAATCACAACACGACCCACACAGAGCTGGGCAAAGCTCATGAAGAGCTAGTTAAAGTCTGCCTCTCTCTCAATGATGAGACTGAGCAGCTTAAGAACCAGCTGCAGGCAGCAGAGGCGGCAGCCGCAGCCGCATCAGCTACAGCAGCAACTGTAGGGCCGGAAGAGGACCCTCAGCTGCAGGAGAAGGTGCAGGCAGCAGAGGCCGAGCGCGACAAGCTGGCGGAGGAGCAGGCGAGGATGAAGGAGGAGGAAGCGAAGGCGAAGGCAGAGCTTGAGGGGGTACGGGCGGAGCTTGCGAGGGTACAGGAGGAGCTTGCCAGCTCCACGGCAGAGATGTCGGAGCTCAGGATCCAGCTGCAGGGAGCAGAGGCGGCAGCCGCAGCAGCATCAGCTACAGCAGCAGCAGCTACAGAAGAAGCACCAGCAGCTACGCCGGAAGAGAACCGGCAGCTGCAGGAGAAGGTGCAGGCAGCAGAGGCCGAGCGCGACAAGCTGGCGGAGGAGCAGGCGAGGATGAAGGAGGAGGAAGCGAAGGCGAAGGCAGAGCTTGAGGGGGTACGGGCGGAGCTTGCGAGGGTACAGGAGGAGCTTGCCAGCTCCACGGCAGAGATGTCGGAGCTCAGGATCCAGCTGCAGGGAGCAGAGGAAGAAGCACCAGCAGCAGCAGCAGCTACAGAAGAAGCACCAGCAGCTACGCTGGAAGAGAACCGGCAGCTGCAGGAGAAGGTGCAGGCAGCAGAGGCCGAGCGCGACAAGCTGGCGGAGGAGCAGGCGAGGATGAAGGAGGAGGAAGCGAAGGCGAAGGCAGAGCTTGAGGGGGTACGGGCGGAGCTTGCGAGGGTACAGGAGGAGCTTGCCAGCTCCACGGCAGAGATGTCGGAGCTCAGGATCCAGCTGCAGGGAGCAGAGGCGGCAGCCGCAGCAGCATCAGCTACAGCAGCAGCAGCTACAGAAGAAGCACCAGCAGCTACGCCGGAAGAGAACCGGCAGCTGCAGGAGAAGGTGCAGGCAGCAGAGGCCGAGCGCGACAAGCTGGCGGAGGAGCAGGCGAGGATGAAGGAGGAGGAAGCGAAGGCGAAGGCAGAGCTTGAGGGGGTACGGGCGGAGCTTGCGAGGGTACAGGAGGAGCTTGCCAGCTCCACGGCAGAGATGTCGGAGCTCAGGATCCAGCTGCAGGGAGCAGAGGCGGCAGCCGCAGCAGCAGCAGCTACAGAAGAAGCACCAGCAGCTACGCTGGAAGAGAACCGGCAGCTGCAGGAGAAGGTGCAGGCAGCAGAGGCCGAGCGCGACAAGCTGGCGAAGGAGCAGGCGAGGATGAAGGAGGAGGAAGCGAAGGCGAAGGCAGAGCTTGAGGGGGTACGGGCGGAGCTTGCGAGGGTACAGGCGGAGCTTGCCAGCTCCACGGCAGAGATGTCGGAGCTCAGGATCCAGCTGCAGGGAGCAGAGGCGGCAGCCGCAGCAGCAGCAGCTACAGAAGAAGCAGCAGCAGCAGCTACAGCCGAAGCACCAGCAGCTACGCCGGAAGAGAACCGGCAGCTGCAGGAGAAGGTGCAGGCAGCAGAGGCCGAGCGCGACAAGCTGGCGGAGGAGCAGGCGAGGATGAAGGAGGAGGAAGCGAAGGCGAAGGCAGAGCTTGAGGGGGTACGGGCGGAGCTTGCGAGGGTACAGGAGGAGCTTGCCAGCTCCACGGCAGAGATGTCGGAGCTCAGGATCCAGCTGCAGGGAGCAGAGGCGGCAGCCGCAGCAGCAGCAGCTACAGAAGAAGCAGCAGCAGCAGCTACAGAAGAAGCACCAGCAGCTACGCCGGAAGAGAACCGGCAGCTGCAGGAGAAGGTGCAGGCAGCAGAGGCCGAGCGCGACAAGCTGGCGGAGGAGCAGGCGAGGATGAAGGAGGAGGAAGCGAAGGCGAAGGCAGAGC